ATATTAAATAGTACTTGAGAAAATATACTGACAGGCAAAAAATTCCACCCAACAGATTTTTTCATTTTCTCGATAAAAGAAAATTCTGCACTTAATTTGTCTCATTGTTTTTATTAATAAATATTTATTTATGATATGTTTAAAATTAGAAATATTAATTAGACGTAAACACACTTAATCCTTAATCCAAAACAAGGGTTTTTCAATGTTTAATTTTTACGGAATTTAAAATGATTATTCAGTGTCATTTGAATTCTGAAGCAATAAAGTTTAGTTTAGGAACAAAGGTTGTAAATCTGAAGGGGCGATCACCCAGACGGGATCGGCGTGACGTCCCCCTCAAATCTGGCAAACGTAACTTTGAAATAATTACACAGTTGGACAGATAGATAAGAACGTCGAAGCGTGCCGCAGGCCCGGACTGGAACCACGTCTTGTTTCCCACGTAACTGGAGAACGTAAAGTTGCAATAGTTGACAACCAAGCAAATAAATAACTATCGTCTAGTTATTTAGTGCTGAAGGGTTGTCACACGGTCAAAAATATGTAGCGACGTGGGACATCGTAAATTGGGGTCGAGTCAACCATGCGCCCGACACACGTCTTCGCCAGTTCACCCGCGGCGTGGGAACTTCTCCGACTTTTGATTTTCCTTTCCACCTCTACTCCGGTAGAGAAACTAGAAACAGTCGCTATGAGCAAGTAGAGGAGCAATTACGTGAGCAAGTTAGGGTCGAATGGCTTCGTTCATTGGAGCTCGAGAAAACGCTGATGAAGTCGAACAAAAACATGCAGAAAGCCTCGAGAAAACGGTCAAGGAGGCTGAGTCCAGAATTACTGTTGTGAGGCGTTATCGGCGGGACTTATCTTTACAGGTGATGATCAAATCCTGGGGAGGAGAAGTGACTGCTAAGCCGGTAAGGAGTTCCTAGACAACTTGGAAGAGGTTGCAGCTTGCGGGAACTGGACAGAGGAGGATAAGTACGTAATATGTAAACTTAAACTCCATGGCCCGGCGGCGGCCTTTGTTCGGACCCACCCGAACGGAAAAGGTAGAGCAACATATCAGGCTCTAGCCGATGCGTTGAGGGATCGTTTTAGCGACCCGAGAAATTTTGAACACTTCGAGAAGTTGCTACATGTGGTCGAGCCATGCCCAAACGAGAGTGTTCACGAAATTGCAGAACGGTGTAGCGGATTAGGAGCCAAGATGGGTCGGCCAGGTAAAGAATCCTCTTGGTGGTCCAAGGGGATTGAACGAAAGGTTGTTCAGGCTTTCTCCCGAGGACTTAGGGGAGAAGTAGGAAAACAGGTCGTCATTGGACGACATACTACTCTGAAAGACGCGTTAAGGCATGCGTTGGAAATAGAGCAGGCCTTATCGGAAAGAAAAGAGGTCCGGAGAGAAATATTCAGTCAGTGAAAACGGAAAACGAAAAAAGGAACCAAGTCGATGGTCGACAGAACAGACGGAGCTGAGGATGCTGTGGACACTAATCGTGGCGAACGTCGTTTGGGGTAAGTCCCTTTGTTAATAGACTCATCCCAGATTTAGAGCTGTGGCTGACATTTAGATAGATTCTGTTGTTTGGGTACAGTTAAGAGACGGAATTGTATTACAATAAATGTTAAGGAATATACTCTGACTTATTGAATTCTAGAACATTACCTTCACAAGAATAAGTACCGAGGCGCTTACGCCGACTCCTCTCTTGTCGCTTAGAGAAAAGCAAGCGAATATTGAGAGACTATTCGACCGCCGCTTACATTTTTATCAATAAATATTTATTTATGCTATGTTTAAAATTAGATATATCAATTAAACGTAAACACGCTTAATCCTTAATCCAAAACAAGGATAAGGGATTTTTCAATGTTTAATTTTTACGGAATTTAAAATGATTATTCAGTTTCATTTGAATTCTGAAGCAATAAACAGTTTAGTTTTCATCTTTGTTTTCTTAATTTCAATTTTTAAACTTAAAAATGCCACTTAGTGTCTAGGTTGTTGCGCGTGGTGTGGCACTTATTGATGATGGACGTCCCATCAGGTATGCGGCTGTTACCATCGGAGTTCCCTGTGAAACACTGCGAGACGCCTTTAGACTTTATTGAGAAACTGGGTCCTACCATAGAAGGCCCCGTCCTGTACGCCCTAGGGTAACAGAACCAGAGGATGACCGTTTTTGACTTTGAGAATTTTGCGAAACCGGCACCTTACTGTTGTCCAAGCGATTCATCACCTCCAGGAAGTTCGAGGTGTCCAAATTTCTGAACGCTCTGCACGAAGATTAAATCAGTATGGACTGAAGGCTTTTCACCCCGTAAGAGGACCAGAATCAGCCAGAACACACAGAGTTGCACGGCTCGCATTTGTCGAGAACACATTGGTCTTTGGACGATTGGTCTGCTGTACTTTTTACTGACGAGTGTAGATTTGCTCTTCGATCTCCAGATGGGCGTGAAGGAATATGGAGAAGGCGAATCGAAAGGTACGAAGCCTGTTATTAGAGAGTCGCACAGAGATGGTTGTTGTGGAGGATCTTTGACGGCCATTCGCTGTGAGGATGAAATTTTGGTACATCCTGCGTTGCCTATCCTCGATAAAATCAGCGACACTCCTATTCTAATGCACGATAATGCTCATCCAGATGTCGCATGCATAGTACAAACTACCTTCAACAGCGAAACATCATGGTCTTAACCTGGCCAGCCCGTTCTCCAGACTTGAACCCCATCGACCATTTATGGGATAACCTCAAAAGACACGTCCATCACTTCCTGACACACTTTACGAACTTGAAAGGACTATTCGTGAAGAATGGGCTAACTTCCAGCAAAGAGACATTTCCAGAATGGTAGAAAGAATGCCGAGGCGTCTTCGAGATGTAATTAGGGCAAGAGGAGGAAATACGCGATATTGAAATTTAATTAAAAATCTAAAACAAAATTAAAACAAATTTTATCTGTCCGTCTTTTTTATTTTTTATTTTTTTAATTTCTTTATTTTTTTCATTTTCCTTAGCAATATACATTTTTCACTTTTTTAGGCACAGACACAATTATTAAACGTTAAAAAACGTGAAACTTTGATTTATACATAAAAAATATGTACAAATCAAGTTATATTACAAGTGGGCGGAATTTTTTGCCTGTCAATGTAATTTAGTTAAAAAAATGGATGGATAAAGATCAACATACTGTTTCAGATCGTCTAAATTCAAAAATGACCAATTTTTGTGGTGAGTAGTTTTAGTTTATAGTTTTTCAGGCAGTATTCCATCTGTAGTTGTGCTTCAATGACTAAACACTCGGAAAAGAAGGGTAAATATATTTAATAACAGGATTTGTTACAAATTGGCATATTAATTTAGAAGAGGAGAAAAATAAACCTCCATATTTAATCTCTCATCAGTGGGCGGTTTATCTACCCACTCAACGATCAGATTCTTACCCTTCAATTAAAATGTATTTACATAAATAACAAATCTTCAGAACTTTCTCATCAAGTAACACTTAATAAAAAGTTGTCCGGCAACTTACATCGGTATAACATCGCAATATCTGGATAAGAGAGTAAAGCAACATATCTATGACTGCAAAAAACCCAAACAAAATCCTACAGCACTGGCTACCCACCATTTTGAACACAAACACAATATCGACTTCAACAATCCAAAAATATTACACACAGAACAAAACAAACAAACGTAACTTTTTAGAAATGGTTTACAGCATCAATCACAGAACAGACACATGTAAACTCACTCGCAGCTCCGCCAATATCATTAATCAAATTCAATGTCGATAACATGCATTTATCATCATCACATCACACAAAACATAAAAAACAATCATTACATCAAACATTTCTACGTAGTCTAATTCTTCAACCATTTGGCTTTCCTTTCCCTAATTATCCCCGTCTATATAATCCTGAAAGGATTATTAGGCCGAACCGACCCATTCTTTCCATTGTCGTCTCCTTTTACCTCAAAGAAGCTCCTCCTATAAAAATGTCTTTCTATCCCGACTTCCTTCCCCACCTCTTCAGAATCCAACGTATATGAACATAGAACATTAATTATTATTTGGAGATCGTCAGATGCGGTCTGGTGTGACGTGGGTTTTAGAAAAACATCTTCTTTATCGTGTCAACGTTTCGATCTATTAAATTCAATAGGGAAAATTCAAAAGGTGAGGTTGAGATAGGAAGTTAGTGTCCGAGTGGATCTAGGTCACGATAGCTCAAGTGGTAGAGCAGCGACGTATCTAGCGAAGATCGTGGGTTCGAATCCCGCTCTTGCCATTGACTTTTTTATCTCAACTAAAAACCTTAATTAATTGTAATGTTTCAACCTATATTGAGATCATCTTCACGGCTCAGAAAACGTCATGGCACTCTTAACGACACACAAGAATGGCATATTTACACAGAAAACAAACACTTTGAATGAATACAAATACTTTGATTTAAAGTCTAAAATTTCTTGCATTGTATAAATTCACTTTTTTCACATATAACATATATTTGTATAATTTAAACAATGTTTATAAATCCCAGGCCCTGAAGATGATCTCAATAAAGATCGAAACGATGGCACGATAAAGAAAATGTTTTTCTGAAACCTACGTCACACCAGACCTCATCTCACGATCTCCAAATAATCATTAAATATTCGTTCACTAAACACCACACACTTTAAAAAAGTTATAATTCACATCCACAAGCAACTTTTTAGTAATTTTTTAAACTTATATTCACTAGCCTATATGCGATTATGAAATTAACAAAGTCTGAGAGTAAAAAAACGTTGAGTGTATTTATTAGCGTGAGTAAAAGTTTAAAACAGTCATGATTATATCAAAGCGAGTTGGCAGGTAGAGAAGCTTTATTATTCGAATGCCTAATGCGTGCTGACCCAATTCCCAACCCTTTGTTCAGCTCCCTCCCCCTTTTTCTATTATGGCCCCTTTTAATTCTCTTTACTCGTGTTCTTTATACAAGCTGTTGTTGGCCGGTTCGTGGTGATCTTTTCTTCTTCCTGACAAGCAGAATGCATTCAGTTGAGGTTTTAAAACGTAGTTTCTTTTTTTTACTTGATTGTAATCATTTTTGTTCCCAGCTCGAGGTACTAACAATCGAAATGTTGATTTTTGGCTGAATCGCCGTTTGTCGAGACGGTTTTTGCTGATTGGTGTCATGCCAGTGGAAACGGGCCAGGAAAACTAAAAAGATCTGGCCCCTCTCCGACCCGGACCATCCTGCCAAATCAGAGCCAAAAACTGCTCACCACGATGGGACTTAATATTTGTATTTTAAACATTTCGGCCTCAAACGAGGAAATAATTGTGGAATCACGTGTTCTTCGAAAAATATGCGACTTTAGTTCAATTATTTTTTCATTTAATTTTCTCAGTGCTTAAATAGGAAAAGTCCTTCTACCATTTTCTATTATCAAGGTGTCATACATAAAATCTAGCCTTCAGCATGAGGAAGGAAGAATTTATGCCACACAAAAAATTAATAAAGAACTACCATCATAAATTATTCTTCCCCTGGGGTCAGTTATCGCAACTAAGAACAATATAGCTAAAGTAAAAGTATTTTTAAAAAAACAGACGAGGTTATAGATTGAATTACTACTTACATGCCTTTTCTCAGGTATTGGGTTGCCGCACTGAGTGCAGACGCGACTTCAGCAGATCCCAAGATGAGATTGCTTCGTCGGCAGCCCAGCTGGTTTCTAATTTAATTCCTTTTCGTCAGAACGAACGATAAAAATAACAATAAAATTCATTTCCACCTTGTAATCTTATGACACCGTACAGAATTTCATCCATTGATTTTTTAAAATTTCCCTTTTTTAAAATATAATTGGTTTTAATGTTTCGATAAACGATTTATTTTATTTTAGTATACTTCATTATAGAGGCGTACCCTTAACTTATGCTTTGTTTATATAGGATGAGAATCCGCCCTCCAGGGCTCTGAAATTACTCAGCGGCCATAAACCAGTATTACGTTGCGAAACATGAAACTTCATTAAACCTTCAAGCTTCAAAATGCACACTACATATTATACTGAACTCAAGTTATTGACAGTGTAAGTCTCACCTATGCATTTTTATGGTAAGTATCATCCATGTTTGCAGAGATCTTTCATATATTTTTGTAAAGTGGTAGATGTATCGACCATTTTTTTACTCATGATTAATCTGGATCTCGGTATGGTTTGGATGAAAAATTCAATTGTTATCTGCCAAGCTTCCAATAAGCTACATAAAAGCTGCATAACATAAAAGCTGCCAATTTTAAGGTCATCATCAGGGAAAAACAATCTTACAGATATCTACAAAATTGACTTAATAAAGTTGTTAACAGATGATTTCAAATTTCTTTCAATATAGACTCGGTCCCAACATTTTCAAGAACTGTAACACTACTATTACAATGGAATGTTAATTGGAATAGTGTTACATGGTCTTGAAATAGTATCATATGTTAATTGGAATAGCGTTACGTATTAATGTGGTGTGGTGATTAGTGACCATTAATCGATTTCTAAATAAATAAAGTTACGTATTAATTGGAACACTGATATAGTCCTGGTCAATGTTGGGACTGAATCTATATGGGAAAAAATGTGAAACCATCTATTAAAAACTTATTTATGTTGTAAGCCGGTCCCCGTCCACACAAAAATGGCTGTAAATCTGAAGGGTGTCGCAGTTCCTGACGGGAGGCACCAGGATGTATCCCATGAAGCTGGGAAACAAAGTTGAGTTGGGCAACCGATGAAATAAATAATAACTAAGCCGAAGATCGTGGGTTCGAATTCCGCTCGTGACACTAAATTTTTCATTTCAACCAAAACCTTACATAAAAAGATTAATTAATTGAAAGAAAAAATTTGGTCAATCAGACCACTAAATATAATGGATTTAATAAATAGCTAACGTCCAGTTACTTAATGCTGAAAGGTTGTCATTATTGACGTGGGACCTCGTAACTCGGGGTCGTATTAACCAGGTACGAGAAACACGTTTTCGCCGGCCCACCCACGGCGTGGGAACGAGTCTAAAGAAAGGCACCAACCAGTCAGCCAGCACCAAGGGGAGACAGCAGCCACACTCTTTCTGAGACTCGGCGAAAGGACTCAATCAGGAAGGGCCAGCTATTATGACGTCGAATAGAGTCGACTGTCGAGGCCCCACGAAGCTGAAAGGAAGAAGATCCTGGAGGAGAAAGGGATGATTTGAAAACTGGCATTGGCGAGCATCGTTTGGGATGTCATTTGGCGAATAAGCTCATCCCAGATGGTGGTAGCTTGGTAGATTGATTAAGATTTTGTTGTTGTTTTTGTACATTTAAAAGACGGAATTGAGTTGAAATAAATGGTGTAGAATATACTGGTTAAAGTCATGTTTTAAGAATATTTTGCACTGTTGATGACCTTAAAATAAGTCGAATGCTTAGCAGATAACAACTGAATTTGTTTTTTCATCCAGACCATACCGAGATCCAGATTATTCTTACATACCTTACCACAAAGCAGTGGATTTACATGACCAACAGTTTCAACTCTTTGGGGAACATGGTATGAAAAACAAATGAACTGAAATTATGAAATATGTGGTGTTTAGTGACCGTTAGTTAATGATTATTTAGAGGACGCGAGATGCTGTCTGGCGTGACGTAGGTTTTAGAAAAACATTTTCCTTATCGTGCCAACGTTTCAATCTTTATGGAGATCATCTTCAGGCCGTGGGATTTTTAAACATTGTTTAAATTAAACAAATACATGTGCAAGTGCATAAACAAATGTTCTCGAAGAATCGAGTCGTGCTTTCAGTTTGATTTTCTCCAGTTAAATCCTTGTTGGGTCCCGGCCCCCGTTTGACTATAAACGCCAGATCCCATATTTGAATTATATCGCCTCGATTTAACAGACAATGCTATGCGGACCCTTTGGCACAAGCGTATGGTGGGTCACCAAGGATTGAGGTCGCGTTAGCCCAGTAGAACAAAGAACCAGTGGGCTCCGTAATGAAAAATCCCGAGAATTACAAGTTGTTGCGCGGAAATAAGTCTGAGGCTAACAGTCACATTGTTTGTTTATTTATGCCAACATACAGACGGTCCAGAAAAGTGTCAAAATAAATATTTACGAATGTTATCTCTCTGGTTGTTCTATTATGGAACTTTACCTTCCTCCTTACAAAAAGTGATTAGCGTACTAAATTCCCTCCTAAGAGCTTAACTATTAGTTCGAAGAGCGTCAGAGCCGCTTACAAAACAAATAATCAATTTAGAAAAAACGAATTCTTTCATTAATTCAATTAATAAAAGATAAATCACATAGTAATTCAGAAATAAACATAACAGTTTAGATTAAAATTCAACACAAGAAAGCTTTGCGGGTTTGCATTTCTTGACTCGCAGGGGCGGAGATGATTTAAGAAGATTCAAATTATGAATTTCTGTTCGACTTGTACTTAAATATTTGCTGGATATTTCTCAACTTATTTATGTTTAATTTTCAATGGCTTAAAGAAATATATCGATCGAAAGTTAAAAATCTTCTGGGAACATGAAAAATAATGAAATTGCTTGTAAGTTGTGAGGAGGTTAACTATTGTAATCTAAATAGAGGAATATTATTTAATCATTTTAATACTATTATCACAATAATTAAATAGGTCAATTGAATAAACAATTAAATATTACCTAAGAAATAAGCCATAGTGCTCTGTACAAGGTAGTGCTGAATTGCAGGATCGAGCTAAATAGGTTAGGTACGCAATGCAGAGTTTCTGGTTTCAACTGGGAAACAAATTTCCCCTTGCAATAAGTGCTGGTAAAAATCCATTTGTGAACTAGAGTATATACTTCTTAGAAAAGAAGACAACGTGAGAGTGAAGAAACGACGATTTCTCAATAAAGCGGAAGTAAGATTTCAATTCAGAGAAACCTCCTTGCAATAAGTGCTGGTAAAAATCCATTTGTGGACTGGAGTATATACTTCTTAGAAAAGAAGACAACGTGAGAGTGAAGAAACGACGATTTCTCAATAGAGCGGAAGTAAGAGTTCAATTCAGAGAAACCTCCTTGCGAGCTTTGAAAGGAAAGAAACAGGATACATTACATCAAAGAAATAGTCAACGAATCTTTTCGTGCCCTGCCAAATCTGATTAGGTTGCAACTGCGCAGATTAGCCAAACTGTTTCGTTGGCTGGTGGTGAGCGCTGTCCAATATAATCGGTCGAATACTTCGTGTGTTGCAGGTCAAACTCCAGTGGACAGCCTTTGTCCAGTGGTTGTACAAAATGTCTATCAGTTATTATTGCCAATTTGTAAAGGAGAAGAAAAAAAAAGCGTGAACATCGTGTGCATCCAATTGATGGTCCAATAGATAGTTGCAAGGAACTTTTTACAAGCTCCATCCTAAGCTACTGAAGTATTCGAAAAAGTTTTTTGCTTTTTACAACCGAGGATAGCCAGTTTCACTTTGTTGCTATAATTTGATCATCAATAGCGAAAGAGATTTTAAGACAACAAAGAGTAACTGTTACCTGCGTACACTGGCTGGATCAAACAATTGGTTCAAAAGGTTAATTAAAGTTAATCTCATGGTACACACAGGTCTGCCGATACTAGGCCAACTTATGATAGCGAATTGAACATCCTAGACAGCGATATCGACCAGAATCGCTCGGGTGTGCGCACTCACTTAAAATGAGCTGCTGGTTGCTTGCTTGAACTTAAAATGCTGAACGCTGTGGGGTCTAAATCTGAGAAAGATTGTTTCAAATAAAAACGGAGTATGTAGATTCTGAAAAATGTAGAGAACATAACACGCGAAAAAATTGTTGCGTACACTTTTCGCCAGAAAAATGTGTTCTGTGTGAAAGAAATACTACTGGCAGGTGAACTAATCAAATTCCTTGATAAATTAGGACTCAACGGTCCTAAGTCTGTCTCTTCTCCGACTAAGTGCTTATCAACTGATGGAAATACACAAGATTCGCACAACACCGTACGATAGTTACGTTGGTCTTTTAACTTTAACTCTAGAGAAGAATTTCACATCGTTACAACGACTAACTTAAGCCCAAACCTGCTGACACCATCTTCCAAAAAAAATTCTCCCTCCCAAAAAGGTTATAGAAATGATTAATGTAGGATGAGTATGTTGTTCAACTACTTTAAAAGGTTATCCCTGAGTTTCCCTTTCTCTCTTCTCCGGTCATCTACCCCCGGAGGTTCGAGGGTCTTCCGACTAAGCTTTTCTTGAGTCTCTTGAAAAGAATCTGGATTTTCTGTTAACCCTAAAACGAAGTGTGGAGGGAAAAGAAGGGCAGAATTATCCATTACTGGTTTACAAATTTGTAGGTGGTAGATCTTTCTGGTTGAGACAAGATCTATCGCCCCAAGTACCGCACTTCTCGGAAACCTCTTTTTACCACGAATCACTAATAACCATTCCAAAAAGGAATCTTAAACAAATTTTATTAGGGGTTAAAATTCATAGTAAATATTAAGATGGAAAGAAAGGATATTTCGTATAATTGTTGGGAAAGCGTATTGTGTAAGATTAGGTCATCGGAAGTGCCCCCGATCCTGATAGTCGACTTACTCTTCCACAAAATCCCCAGACACAGCTAAACAAAGCTGGCGAAAAAATAACAACTGGGTTGCGAAAATACAGGTCGTTCCCGGGAAATCGCCACGGAATTATTTACTGTTGTGCTGAGAAGAGGCTTATTGCTCAACCCCAAGGATTAGCCAATGCCCGGAATCACCTGGCAAAGCTCAACAAACTGGGGAAGAAAAATGAGGCAATCG